TAAGTGCTGCGTAACATTGAACTGGAAGAATCTCCTTGAAGGACCATTTACATCCACAGTGGTAGCACACATTTCCACTGCAGTACTTTGGTGGGAGTGTGTGTGTGGATGCACATTGGTGGTTCATTGAAGGGGATGGAAGTGGAGCAAAATGCGACGGATGCACGTTGTGCTCATGCACTGTCTGTTTAGGTTACTACTTGCAGAGGGAAGTTGGGTCAACCATCCATTATTTAGCCAACTTCCCTATGATATCCGTCCTTTTATTATTCACCCTGATTGAGAATGGTGCCGTGTTCGTGGGTAGAAGTTGACTACCTTTGTTGCAGCTTGGTTGTAGTGTTACTAGTTGTGGTGGCTAAATGAAAGATATCGACGTTGCAGACACTGGTCAGTGCCTCGCATTCTGGAGGATGTGGAAGGGAAGGGTATAGCATCACGTCTGTCTCCTCCCTCAGAAGGCAGTTGTACATGACAGTACAGAAGAAGAAGAAGAAGAAGAAGAAGAAGAGGAGGAGTTGATGGTGAGGAGAACAACTGGGTTGCTAAAGACATTACCTAGGCTGGAAACAAGGATAGTTGGAAAGTGGGAGGCAAAAGTGGAGGCAGAGGGAGGAGGCGACTCAGTCGAGCATGCAGTAAAACAAATGTGGAATTGCGACATAACTCCTTCCCACTTTGAGCATCTTTACTGCCCCTTCACATTGTTGACAGCTGAGTCGCGAATTAACGCGCGAATTTCAACACACAGTTCTCCATTTGGATGAAGAATAGAGAATCGTCCCTCCTGAGCGAATTGGGTGCATCCAACAGGGAGTGTTTCGAGGTCAGAGTGAAATGGGTTGCGGGGTCAGAGCCTCCTCCAAGTGGTGTGGAGCAGATGTTGGGAGGAGGCACTACAATGGTGCAGCCGAAGCACACCTGGTTGGTGAGGCAAACAGGATGGAATGACATGCATGAGATTGCACCGAGATTTCACGTTGTCATTGTTGGGAGTGGTGCGATGTGGTGTGGTGTTGCGGTGTTGGGATGGGATGCGGTATTGAGGTGGGGCGGATGGAGGCAAACAGGATGGAGTACATAAGCGAGCAAGGAATGACGAATGCGAACCACTTGACACCACTTATTGGAGATGTCGTGTAGTGTGATGAACTTTTTCTCATCTTGCAAGTGTGAAGCATCATCGCACTCCCCAAAGTGATATTTATGTGTCTGTTGACATGTCAGTTGAAGATCTGCTAGACGGAATGAAGTAATTGTTAGTGGGAAGAGCTTTAGTGAGCTGTTGCTCACAACTTCAAACCGCCATATTTCGTCCACCAATTTTTGCCTTTGTGTGACTCAGCTGAAGGTATGCAGTGAGTGGGGAATGAGAAGAGGAGCGACGAGGCCTCGACGTCGGTGAGTGGGGTGTGGTGTATGTGGATTTCGTGGAACACTCACTACCTTCATCAGATTGGAGCGACGTCA